CTCTTTATCTGACCTTCAATTCTGAATGTTAGCTTTGCTGGGTAGAGTAATCTAGGTTGTAGGTTCTTGCTATTCATCACTTTGAATATTTCTTGCTACTCTCTTCTGGCCTGCATAGTTTCTGTTGAGATATCAGCTGACAGTCGTATGGGTATTCCCTTGTAGGTAACTGATTGTTTTTCTCTTGCTGCTTTTAGGATTCTCTCTTTGTCTTTTGCCCTTGGCATTTTAATGATGATGTATCTTGGTGTGGTCCTCTTTGGATTCCTTTTGTTTGGGGTTCTCTGCACTTCCTGGACTTGTAAGCCTATTTCTTTCACAAGGTAGGGGAAGTTTTCTGTCATTATTTCTTCAAGTAGGTTTTCAATATCTTGCTCTCTCTCTTCTTCTGGCACCCCCATAATTCGGATGTTGGTACGCTTGAAGTTATCTCAGAGGCTCCTTACACTATCTTCATATTTTTGGATTCTTTTTTCTTTTTGTTTTTCCGGTTGGGTGATTTTTGCTTCTTTGTATTTCAAATCTTTGACTTGATTCTTGCGATCCTCTAGTCTGCTGTTGGAACTCTGCATAATATCCTTTATTTCAGTCAGTGTATGCTTAATTTCTAGTTGGTCCTTTTTCATAACCTCGAGGGTCTCACTAGATTTATCGAGGGCCTCACTACATTTATCGGCGGTCTCACTAGATTTCTTGAGGGTCTCACTAAATTTATCGGCGGTTTCTAGAAAATTCTTGAAAAACCTTAAAAGTGTGGTTTTGAACTCTATATCCAGTAGTTTGCTATCCTCCATTTCTGTCATTTGTGACTTGTTTCTTTGTCTCCGCATTTTTTATGCTTCCCTGTGTTGATAGAGTGGCTTTCTGTGCTAGGTGTCCTGTAGGTCCCAGTGGCTCAGCCTCCCCAATTACCTGAGGTGGACACTCTTGGTGTACCCCTTTGTGGGCTTTGTGCACAGTCTTGTTGTAGTTAAGCCTTGCTTGTTGTAGGTATCACTGGGAGGAATTGACCTCCAGGCCAATTGGCTCTGAGAATCAGCTGTGTCTACAGTGGGAGAACTTCTGAGCTGGAGACACCCTTCTGGGGCAAGACTTGCTTCAGTGGGGCTTTGGTGCTCACTGAGTCTGCCCCCTGAGTGTGTCCCTTATGGATCTGAGGAGTTGTAATCTGGATGGTCCCACTCTGACCACTGGGTACACTGGCTCTTGGATCTCTAAGGAGGTGTAATTTAGCCTCTGCCTGAGGCTACCCAGCAGGAGCTATGGAGAGATTCCTCTTCTTTGTTTGGGATTTGGAGGTGCCCAGATGAGGCCCAGCTGTGAAGCAGTGCAAGCTGCTGTGGGGCCTTGGACCTTCTTTTGGAAGTTCTGGGTCTCTCTGACTCAGCTACAGTTTGTTAGGTAATTTTCAGGTTGCAAAGGGCCAGGCCTTTCATATGCAAAAGCCTCTGTGCACAGCTTGGGTGGTGCGGGGTCTCAGGGGATCAACAGAGCAGAGCAAGCAGCTATGGCTGCTCCCCAGTCCTACCCTAAGAGGCCCCGGGTCTCAGTGTCCCGGTAATCGCTGCAAGCACCTCTGAGAGAAAGCCGCCCTTGAGTTCTGCCCGATGCCAGACAGTCCAGTTTCTCCCCGTATGAGTCTGGGACACACCTGGAACTGGAGTTCAGAGCAGTTGGGAGCTTGAGACTCTCTCCCGATTGAAAAATGTGCCGCGTCCTCAGCCGCCAGCCCTCTCCACGTGCGCCGCGTCCTCAGCCGCCAGCCCTTTTGGCGTGAGCCTCCGTACCTCTGCACTTTACTTCCGCACCTCCTCTGAGTCTCAGTGTGCTTTTCTCTTTCCTTCTAGTTGTAGAATTTCCACTCAGCCAGCCTTCCTGTGGTTCTGGATGATGTCCGTTTTGTCTTTTAGTTGTATATTTGAAGTGGTTGTGCGAGGCAGCAATTTCCGGTGTTTACCTATGCCGCCATCTTGGTTTCTCTCCCAGTAAATGTTCATCATAGTGTTACCCTACAGTATATTATCTATTGTCAGATATATGTGTATCAATCTCTAGTCCTGACACATGGAAAAAGGAAAGGGCTATTCTTCTGGGAGACAGCAACTGGAATCTTAGATTCTCAGGGCTTGGGAAGGCTTGTCATCCATCATTATGTTTTGTTAAGTTTGGCCAGAAGCAGCAGTGGTAGCAGTATGTGCCATTATTGACTTTTACTCTGTGCCTTGTGCTGTGCCAAGTGCATTGATATCCCCTGTCTTATTTTTTGTTAGAATGATAACATGAACTTTTTAAAAAATTTAATTGTTTTATTGATTAAGTTATTACATATGTGTCCTTATCCCCACATTCCCCCCCATTCCACCCCCCACTCAGATAACATGAACTTTTTATTATTATCCCCATTTTACTGATGAGAAAACTAAGGTTTAGAGGTAAATTATATGGCAGTTAAGTAGTAGAGTTGGGATTTGAATCCAGAACTCACTAGCTCAAAAGCACATATCCTTAATGACTACATTACTATCTCTCAGAGGTGGTTAATCTTGTAAGTATTCTAAAGCTAAACAAGAATAAGGCATTATAGACAAACAGTAAAAATTCTCATGCATCATTTAATACAAGTTAACTCTGTGTTTGAATAATTAAAACTGACTTTCACATTTGACTTGTCCCTTCCCCTCACATAGTCTAGAAAATCAGATTACAGTATTCTTCTTTATTTGTGGACAATACATTCCAGGACCTCTATGGATGCCTAAAACTGTAGATAGTACTGAACCATATATATATATAATGTTTTTCCTATACATACATACCTCTGATAAAGTTTAATTTATAAATTAGGCACAGTAAGAGATTAACAGCAATAACTAATAATAAAATAGAACAATTATAACAATCCTATATAATAAGAGCCTAATATGCAAATTGACTGAATGGCAGAACGACTGGCAGAACAACCGGTTGCTATGATGTGCACTGACCACCAAGGGGCAGATGCTCAATGTAGGAGCTCCCCCCAGCTCACAGGCGCCAGGCCAGCCAAGGTGGGTGCCAGTGGGGGTCCGTGATCGCCCCACTGGTCACCTCGCAGAGGGAGGTCACCGGCAGCGGTGGTGGGGGGCGGGGCCGGCAAGCAGGCAGTGCCAGGCTGGCCAAGGCAGGTGCCAGCGGGGGCCCGCCAGATCACCCTGCTGTTGCCTCACAGATTGGCCTTTAGGGACCCTACCCGTGCACGAATTTTGTGTACCAGGCCTCTAGTATATTATAATAAAAGTTATGTGACTGTGGTCTCTTTCTCTTTGATGACTGGTCTGATAACCGAGACAGCTACTAAGTGACTAATGGGCGGGTAGTGTATACAGTGTGGATATGCTGGACAAAGGAATGATTCATGTCCTGGGCAGGATGAGCGGGACAATGCAAGGTTTCATCACACTACTGAGAACAGTGCACAATTTAAAACTTATGAATTGTTTATTTCTGTAATTTTCCATTTAATATTTTCAGACCGTGGTTGACCGCTGTAATTGAAACCATGGAAAGCGAAACTGTGCATGGGGTGGGGAGAACTGTTGCAATGAGAAGGGGTAGAGAGGGAATAGTGCTTTCCCACTGATAATTCCATACTTGGTTAAGTGGATTTTGCTTGAATTTCCTTCCTTTAGGCCTTAAATGTCAAAATGGAAATTTATCCTGAATAAAGTGACTTCTGAGATAGGAACTATTATGAATGAAATTATTTAAAATGGCATCTTCCATATTTCTCACTTTTAACTTGGAAATGCGCTCTTTTGTCTTTTGGTGATCCAAAAACAGCGCAACTAACATCAGATTGGTTTTTCTGGATGGGGTAATGAAGTTAAATATTTATTTCTGTGGCTGTAATGGGGACTGCTTTGTGAATTCCACTGTACCTTAGTGATTAATGTGACCTTACCTGAGTCTTACCAAGTATTTTTGCCTTCTGGGCACAATAGAGACAGACTCTCCTATTGTTTGCAATTCACCTCATAAAAATTTGAAAGCAGGAAAAAAAGTTTTTTCCCCTCTCAGGACAAGTTTGCATTCTGCTTTTTTAAAAAAATATGTATATTTTTTCATTGATTTTAGAGAGGAGGGAAGAGAGAAAGAGGGATAGAAACATCAATGATGAGAGAGAATCATTGATTGGTTGCCTCCACACGCCCCACACTAGGGATCAAGTCCACAACCCAGGCATGTACTCTATCTGGGAATTGAACCATGACCTTCTGGTTCATAGGTCGTTGCTCAACCACTGGGCCATGCTGGCCTGGGCTGCCTTCTGCTTTTTAAAATTAAGTTTGCACTTTCCCTGTGGTATGAAGACAGAGCCCTCCGCCTGTGGGCTCTGCCAAAAGCTGGGGCACTTTCTGCTTGAATTGCCAATGCTGGGCAGCGGCAAGAAGACCCCAGCAGGCAAGCCAAACTTTTGTTTCATTCTGGATGTCAATAAAAAGAGTTTCACCCCCTCCTGACCTGCCCGAGAGACAGAATAGGGAAGTTGTTCATTTCTGTCAGTGCTTTGGGTTTGAGACACACTCAAAAGACATTCTTCCATAGTCCTGAGGTTGATACCTTGTTAACAGCCCAGTCACTAAAAACAGAAGAGCAGTGCTGCCAGAAAAGTGGCTCCTAAGAGTTGGGGTCCAGGGCACTGGTTAAAGGGAAATTATTCCCGGGCTGTTTTGGAGAGTCTAGTCCTGAGGACAATTAAACAGTCCAGACAGGTCACTGGGTGAGACCAATTTCCTGCTTTGTTTATTTGAGCCTGATTGTTTTCACCATCGAGCAGCAGGTCATGGTCCTGCTACACCGTTACCCAGCTCTGCGGAGAGCAGTCCCTTTCATATTTGGTTTCTCCAGGCTTCCCTCAGGACCCTAGCCGTGTCTTTATCTGGTTGGATTGCTCTGGGGTCTCTCTCAGGTCCAGGGCAGAGGGCAGTGCCAGTAATCACTTTCGACTTCATCTTATGCAGGCCTTTGGCTTTATGTCTCGAGTTGCTCTACAAGCAGAGAAGATGAATCATCACCCGGAATGGTTCAATGCCTATAACAAGGTAATGAAATTGCCTTATTTTGGGATCACCTGAATTATGGAGTTTAGGAAATCTCTTTCTTCCTTGTCATCCTGTACAGCTAAATGTCATTGTGTTTAGGAAAGTATTCTTTTTTTTTTTTCTCAGAACCCCTGTGTATTATTGCAATTTAGTAACAAATTTTCAGATCTGCTCAAGAGAACCGTGACTAAGCCCTTTATTTTCATGTTTGTCTTCTGTTGAAACTAATATGAAAGTTGGGCCATATTAGGCTCCTGAATTAAACTTGAATATCAGCCATGCAGATAAAATGTTAAACCCTATTAAGGTAAATTATTGAAAAAATCGGAAGTAAATATCTCGAGGTAAATTTGCTCAAAAGCTGTTCTTTAAATAATAACTTTATTAAATGCTGTTTCTGCAGTGGGAACTGACCTTCTTAAGACAAACAGCAGACTGAAAAGACTTCATCAATTAATTTTAAAGGGGCATAGTGAGAAGAATACCCCTCAAAAAGTGTCCTTGCCTATGGTCATACCATTTAGAATTTATCTAGTTTTTTCTGGGGTTCTCTTTTCTCTTTGAAAGTCCTCTTTGAATAAAGAGAAAATTTCATATTTTTGTGATTTATTGGAATAATTCAGAGCATGTAGGTATCAGGATAAACTTTTCTTTCACAGTTGCCTCTCCTTGCCCATAACTTTGCTTTTGCCTTTTAATTGATTTGCAGAGAAGCAAGAGTCTATTCTTTCATCCCACACCCACCTCACTTTCCTAATTTGGAAATGGGCCTTTTTAATGTTGCAAAGATATTACCTTTGATAGCTTGGTTTTTCTCAACGTCCTGAAAATAGTGGGTATAATTAAAGTAATGGGAGTTCAAATGAAATCTCAGTCAGTCTCTCTCTCTCTCTCTCTCTTTTTTTTTTTCAAGAGACAAAATTTGAGATTCTGGCAGCTGAATTGCCCTTCGTATGAGAGAACTTTTTCATCCCTGGGCAGCTGCTGGGGCCAGCCTGAAGCTGACTGTGCCCCTGGAGTTTACTGGGTTTTGGAAATGTCCTATTTATTCATGTTTTCTAAATAATTTACTCTGACCAGTTCTTAAATATGAATGTTGCATAATAGATTGATTTCTGAACCACGAAAGCAGTATACCACGAATCGCAGGTCAGGGTTTTAAAAACTGCTTCTTTCTTTCTTAGGTCCAGATAACTCTCACCTCGCATGACTGTGGTCAACTGACCAAAAGAGACGTGAAGCTGGCCAAGTTTATTGAAAAAGCAGCTGCTTCTTTGTGATTTCTTTCAAAATGCTTGTAAAATCTTATACACATCTTAGGTGTAATGTACTTTGAGGGTGATTTACATGAACAAATTAAGCTGAAAATTTAGTTCACCTTTCTACCACATTTTGTAAAATCAGTGCTTAAATACAAAATGATTTAAATTTGAGCCTGAGGTATTTTTCATTATATCTAAGTCACATATATAAGGCATACCAACCGAGGTAATTGTATTAATAATACAGTATTGAAAAAGAGAAGTAGCATTTTTAAAGACCAGAAATTGGGATGGAGGAGCATTCACACATTTTATAACCTGGAAATTCAAGTGATTATGTTGACTTTACAAATGCATTGTGTTAGAGAATAGTTGTAAGGTAGAAAAAGAATGATAAACTCTGTAGGTAAAGGGTTGTAACCATCTGTAACAATTCTTATGAAGTTAAAATTGATTCTTTAGCTGCTGTTATTAATTAGATTTACAAAGTCACAAAAATTGGGTGAGCTGTCTTGTATTTTATTCTTACTTTTCAGGCAGGCAGTTGAAGGAAGAGGACAAGAACCTCTGACCTCTGAACTGAAGGTTCATAGCCGTTGAGCTAGAAACTACTTGGGTATTATCCAGTAATGAACTCTATTTACTCCTTGTTTTACTGACAGGAGTAAAATGGAATATAAAGTAATCTATTATTTAAAAATTGCAATAAGCATTCTTTGAAGGAACTCAGAAATGTACTTATTAATGAGCTTAGAATGTAGATTAAAAGAATGTATACATATATTCATCCAAGGAACACGTGTTAATCTTTCAAAGCATTATTGTGGGAGGATTTAATAGGAATCATCTTTGAAACCCACCTCACATTAGAGGCCAGAAAATTCACTCTGCATTACAACAAGCAAACCTTCCCCTCCCCACCCTTCCCCAGCCTCCAATTTGAGAAACTCAATAGGAACATAACAAGGAGGCTGAGCTCTCTGAAGCTAATTCCTGGCTGGTTCTGTTGGCCCAGGAGAGGCAGGTACAGTTTGCCCTGTGGATATGGAGTGTGCAAGGAGGGGAGAAAAAGGCCACCCAGACTCGGTGCTGCCGGGGACCCAGAGCCTGGGTGCTAGAACTTATGCTTCTTAAAATTCTTTTGGAAGAAAAGGCAAAGCTGTGTTTTTATAAACTCTTATTTATAGATTTTGAGGAACTTTTATGTTTTATTACCAAATATTTTAGTTCAGTACTTCATTTTTTTTACATGAGTTTTTAAACATGAAAAAATATTTTAAGAGTGAATAATACTGCCCAATATATGGTGATGGGAGAAGATTTGACTTTGGGTCAAATCTTTGGGTGGTGGGCACGCAATGCAGTATATAGAACTTGTAACATAGAAACCCACACCTGAAACCTATATGACTGTATTAACCAATGTTACCCCAATAAATTTAATTTTTAAAAAGTGAATAGTAAATTGAACCCTTATGTACTGATCATGTAGATTTAGCAATTACCAATATTTTGCCCCAGATACTTCATATAATCCCTCATTTCCTTCTTCTTTGCTAAAGTATTTCCCTGATAGCATTTCATTTTACCCCCACATCCTTCAGTAAATATCTCTAGAAAATAGGGTAATTTTCTTGTATTAACCAGAATGCCATTATCACACCTAACAATAAACCATGATTTCTTGGTATTACCTAATACCCGGGCAAAATCAATTGCCCTGAAGGTAAAAAATGTGGTTGGACAGTAATTTTGTTCTAATCAGGATCCACATGAAGTCCAGCCACCACATCTGGTTGTGTTTTCTTAATCTTTCAATCTAGAGCAGTGGTTCTCAACCTTCCTAATGCCGCAACCCTTTAATACAGTTCCTCATGTTGTGGTGACCCCCAACCATAAAATTATTTTCGTTGCTACTTCATCACTGTAATTTTGCTACTGTTATGAATCGTAATGTAAATATCTGATATGCAGGATGAATTTTCATTGTTACAAATTGAACATAATTAAAGCATAGTGATTAATCACAAAAACAATATGTAATTATATATGTGTTTTCCCATGGTCTTAGGCGACCCCTGTGAAAGGGTCGTTCAATCCCCAAAGGGATCGCGACCCACAGGTTGAGAACCGCTGATCTAGAGCAAGCAAATTCCCCTCTGTTTTCCCCTCCTCCCTTCCCCATGTCATTGACTATTGCAAAAACGGGGTCAGGGATCTTCTGGATTTGTTTGTTCTCTTGTGCTATAATTTAACTTGTTTCACTGTACCCTGAATGGAAACCTTTTCCTATTTTAAATGTAAGTCTGAGAGGCTAAACTCAGTGGCTGTTAATATACACCTATATAGCACACTAGAGAAAGCAGGATATGGCTCATAATTGCAATGGTGAAGACCTGAGAATGCAGCTACTAATTAGCATGTACATGGAGGATTGACATAAGGTTCATGTTAAGGGTGTCACATCTGCTTGAACTCACAAACTTATACTATAGAGAATCAAAGGTCCTACACTAAGTTTATGGGAATACTCATTGTGGTAAATTGTAACAGAATGAATCCCCAGACTTGCTTCAAGTAACTGACATTTCAACTTGAAAGGACATTGCCAAGGTTGGAGGCCCCCAAGTTTCCTTCTGTTCCAAATCTTTGTGTGATGGCACTGGTGTCTGTGATGTGGTAAGTTTTGGTTTTCTTCCATTTTCTTTCTAAATGATCACTAGAGTAGAGAAGAGTTAAATAGATATGACCTATGACCCCTTCAATGTAACAAACCAGGGCCAGCCCGAAATGAAAGTTCTTTTCATAATGGTTACTTTCTGACATTAAAAATATTTAGGAAATATTTGGATACATAGACTAGACATGGTTTTTATGTCTTTGTTCTAGACAAAAAGCAGCAGCATGTATATTTTTTAACACAAGCCTGAACTTTTATTAAAGTACTAGAGGCCTGGTGCATGAAATTCATGCACAGGGGAAGGGGGGGTTTTTTCAGCCCAGACTGTGCCCTCTCGCATTCTGGGACCCCTTGCTCCTTACTGCTCACCTGCCTGCTGCTCCTTACTGCTCAGCTTGATTAGTGCTGCCGTGGAGGTGGGAGAGGCTCCTGCCACCACTGCTGCACTCACCAGCCGTGAGCCTGGGTTCTGGCTGAGTGGTGCTCTCTGTGGGAGTGCACTGATCACTGGGGGCAGCTCCTGTGTTGAGTGTTTGCCCCCTGGTGGTCAGTGCTCATCATGGTGACCGGTTGTTCCGCTGTTCATTCCGCCTTTTGGTCGATTTGCTTATTAGGGTTATATTATATAGGATTGGGGCTACTAGTGTTGGTATGAAGCAGTCTTTATACTGTCTAATTTAGCATTCAAAAATATACTGGTTGAACTCTGTAACTTCCAGTTTTGTAAAATTTCCTATAGAGCAGCAAGAGCTGAAATAGAGCTTGACTTTAATATGTGAGATTTGTGTTTCAGTGGCAGATACTGGGACGAGTAAAGGAATGACTCTTGGCCAAAAGACTTGAGTCACCAAGCTGCCATGCCTGCTAACTGCTGACTTTCCCTGCTGTGTGCAGCTGAGGTGGTGCTGCCCAAGTCGGGCAGAGTGTGAGTTGCCGCTGAAGGGCAGAAGAGGCCCCCCTTTGGCTTCTCCTCCCAGGATGCCCACGTGTCCATGAGAAGGTCTGGGTGATTTCAGTGAACCCAGATAAGCTTGTCACCTCTGACTCCATTCACCAGCTGGAGTTCCATTCCCAGGTGACATGTCTTCATCAGTGACTTCAGAGCCACATTTAGCTGTGGATGCCGAGGAAATCCCTCAGCAGAGATTTTCTGATGGAAGCAGTGCACTAAGGACAACTGGGCCCTTCTCTGCTACTCTCAGAGGGCCATCATTCCTCACCCCTCCAGGCATCATGAAGAATTCTTTACATTCTTATTCTCTTCTTCATTTCCCCATGGCTCTGGAAGACATAAAAGTGTACAGCTAAGTGTACAGCTGGAGTTCCTGGAGATGGAATTCCACTATGCTCAGCTACTTGACTGGTGCCATTCATTTGTATATTCATATAGCACACACTCACTGAGGGCCTTCTATATGCCCCCAAAGGGATTTGGCACATTGATGTATTGGGGCAGGTGGAGACAGACCTGATTCAGTCTCTCTCTGAACAACTGCTCTAGGAATCCACTCTGGGGATGTTAGGCTGGAGCCCAGAAGGCATTAGGGGGCATATGACCAAAGGAGGCAGTAAGAGGTATAGAAGGAGCTGATTCCTGAGCGAGAGAGTATAAATTGAAAAGATGAGACTAAAGTTTGAATCTTGGGACATTAATCAAAGTGAGTCTTAAAACTTGATTGTTGATGATTTTTTGTTGTTTTGTTCATCTTCACCTAAGGATATTTTTTCACTGATCTTTTACAGTGTAAAAGAGAGGGAAAGGCAGAGAGAAACATTGATGTGAGAGAAACACATTGATTGGTTGCCTCCCGCACATGCTCCAACCAGGGCCCGGACAAGGTACATGACCATGACTGGAATTGAACCCGGGACCCTTTGGTCCGCAGGCTGATGCTCTATTCACTGAGCCAAACTTACTAGGCTGACTGTTGATGATTTTAAGTGGAAAAATTGAGTAAATAGGATGTTATTACCCAGTTTAGTATATGGGTTGCCTACAAGAGTACTTTTCTACAAGGAATGGTCATATACACTTGTTTTAGAACACCTGGGACAGCGGAGGTGGTGGGTGGTCACCTCCTTTTCTTGTGGCCCAAGAACTTAGGTTTCCAGGAATTTGACTAATTGAGCCACTGAAGATTTAATACAACAGGGCTACCCAGATCCCTTTGTCTTGATTTGTTTTAAAAACCAAAGACGATAGGAGAAGGCAAGCAAGGGAAATATATTAATCCCAAGAATTGAACAGAGCAAAAAATTCTGTTGCTCTTGTACCTAAAACATCTCCCCATGGGCTCATCCCTTACACTCTAGTCTAGGTGGTTCATATGTGTACATTCCATGCCCCCACTTAGCGTCTGTTTCTTATGTTCTAGCTCCAAACCTATCAAAACCTTTCCTTGCCCTTCCAGGCGTTTCCAGTGCTGTGCACTTGCTCTTAGAACCCCTTGCTTTCCACTCTTCTATAACCCCTACTTATTGGAACATAGTACTAAGGACCTTAGTCTGTCAGATCAGAGTACTTGGTGAAGAAGAAGAGGTTTTCATCTGGCCTATCTCCGGCTCCCAGTTTTAGCCCGGAACTTGACAGTTGCAGTGTGCTCACAACTGTTTTTGCTGAACTGAGGTGCACAGTCTCCTTGGGAAGAGAGGATCTGTGCATAGATCGGCTGGGGAGCTTGCCCCGGCAGGGGCCTGTGGACTAGTCATGTATTAGAATGCCCAAGAATGACCTCATAAAGCAAAGATTCTCCTCGTGGATCCTTCTCTGAGGTCTCTGGAATCTAGATGCCGAGGAAATCCCTAAGCAGAGATTTCC